AGATAGATAGATAGATAGATAGATAGATAGATAGATAGATAGATAGACAGAAAGATGATATATAGATAGATAGATAGATAGATAGATAATAGATATATGATAGATAGATAGATAGATAGATAGATAGATAGATAGATAGATAGATAGACAGATACATACATACATACACACACACACACATACATACATATATACATAGGCCAGTAAGTAGACAGAGATAGATAGGAATATTATAGGTATATAAATACAATCTTTGTACTTTGTTCATATTTATCCCTAATGCCTTCCCCATCTCTCCTGCCTTCATCTTGATGAAAAACACTGATTTATTTCCGTTTCCTTTTTCATGATTTTTAAATGTTGGGAACTAATTTAACATGAAAGACAATGAATGGAAGAAGAGAAGTTCCTCAACTCTTTCACAGCTGAAGAATGAATAGCTCTCCTGGGCTCCTGGGTGGTGGTAGCCCTGCTTCTTCCACAGCAACAGTCCTCAGTGTGACAATGAAAGACAAGCGATGCTCGAAATACCTAGTCATCACCCAAGAAGATAACAGTTTAAGAACATCTTACAGGGCTGGAGAGCTGGCTCATCAATTAGGAGCATTTGCCGTTCTTGCAGAGGACACGAGTTCAATTCCCAACACCCACTTTAGGTGGCTCGCAACCACATGTAACTCCACTCACTTCTGGCCTCCACAGGCATAGAAACACAAAAACATAAGCATCCATACACACACATATGCTCATGTACACACACCTAGATAAAAATAAAATCTTTTTACAAATAGAAGAGCCAAAGGGACCCACCGTTAAAACATGGCCCAAAGAATCAACTAACCAGCACTCATGGGAACTCGCAGAGATCAGAGAGACTGTAGGGGTAGGGGTCTGACCTAGGTCCTCTGCATATACATTATTGCTGAGTAGCTTGGAGTTCTTGTGGAAATCCCAATGGTGGGAACAGAGGGGGCTGCCCCTTAAATTTTTGCCTAATTGTGGGACCCTTTTTCTCCTACTGGCTTGCCTTGTCCAGCCTTGATGAGATGGTATGTGCCTGGTCTTACCGTAGCTTGTTATGCCATGTTTGGTTGATGTCCCTAAGAGGCGGAGGGAGGGTGGATCTGAGATAGAGGGGAGGTAGGAGGAAAGGCTGGGGAGGGAAGGGGTGGAAGCTGCAGTCAGGATGCAATATATGAGAAAAGAATTTTAGGGAGGCATAACAAGAAAAAAAGAAGAAGATATACCTACTATATGCCAGTTCAGTCTTAAATGCTTTACATACATCAAGTTATTTGTTCTCAAAAAAAATCCCTTGCAGTAAATGCGTTACAGCTGAGGAAAACTATATCAGAGAAAGATGAGATTAGCCCCAAGCCACTTATCTCAAATGCTAGAACTAAGATGTGGACTCAATTAATTGGAAGCAGAGTACCAAGTGTTTAACTGACAGTTAATGAATATTACCAGTGAGAATAATCTGCATCAATCACTGCTAGAATCTAGGGTGCTGGGATGCTGGAACTAGGTCCTACAAGAGCTGCTGCAAAGTTACTCTTAGTTAATGAATGATATGGATGTTCCAAAGGCCCCAAAGGACCAGGAGAACAACTAAGGAAAGTTTTCAATTTGGGTTTATTTTCCTTGGAAGGAAGCCATGAAGAGATCCCTCTCAATTGTTCTCAGCACAATCCATTTAGCAGGATTTTCCTATTTATCAAGTATTCAACTATGTATCTTTCCCTGATTGTGTTAGACAATCAGTGACTAGTGTGCATTACCTGTTGAATAGGTGGTGACCATGATTATCTTTACCTGGGTACCGTGTGTCTCCAATGTTCTTCCTTAGGAAAGGACCTCATTCTGCATTACCTGGTGGGCTATGGGCTAGCCTCAACATGGCCTTCAGAGTCTCAGAGACTGAGTAGCCCTAGGTTCTCAACACAGTAAGCTGGCAGGCCCTCTCGGGAAGCAGGAACATTAAAAACAATGTTAGGACTCTCAGAGGAAGTAAAATGGCCAGCATACCCTTCTAGGGGTCTCTACAGTAGCTTTGTCATTAAGTAGATAGGGGCTGAAGACACATCCCAGTACTAGAACATTTTTCTAGCATGACAAAAGGCCGCCAGTTCAAT